ACCGTCACAGAGTGAGGGTGGTCGCAAGTGGCAGTGGCGGCAGTATGTGACCCAATATTTGGTGTATGTGACCAATTATTTGTTTATCTGCGACTAATTATCAATCCGAGACCTTAAAATTCGGTAATCTGTGACTAAAAAAATTTGTTACCAACCATTCGGTAATCTGTGACTAACTGATTTGAAAATCTGTGACCGTGTGACCTATAAATTTTGATCTGTGACCAACTAATTTTGAAATCTGTGACCAACGAATTAAATGTGACCTGTAAAATTTTTGAAATATGACCATAAAATAATCTGTGACGTATAAAAATTATTATTTGTGACTGAAAAATAATATGTGACTAATTAAATTATAAATCTGTTATTGGAATAGTCGCAGAATCGGAGCAGTCGTCGGAATGGTCGCCGTAGAAGAGTGGTCGCCGGAATGATCGTCGGAATAGTCCCAGGAGCGGTAGGGGGTGGTGCATGTGGGGTGGGTTTATTATATTATATTATATTATATTTGCCAAAAAAAACCTGATTTTTGAATTTTCAAACTATAAACATGATTTTTGAATTGGATATTAATTGAATTTATAATTAAAACCCTAATTTATTTCCATTCCCCCGTCTCGCTCTTCTCTCTCTCTCTCTCTCTCTAAACACCGAGCTTCAAATATTTTCCCCATTCTTTCTCTAAACCTACCCAATCGCCTCACTTTATTCTCTCTCACCTTCCCATCGTCGCCGTCTCTTTCGACCACGAACTCATCACCTTTCCATTGCCGCCACCTGTCGTCATTACCTAGCCTTATCACCACCGTCAATCCATATTGCTGGCCAGGAGCTTCAATCGTGACGGTGAAACTGTGCGTGACACGATAGAAGCTTCAATCACTCCTCATCTTTCTGTGGCTACCATTCGTCGTCGTTGCCCAACCCTATAACACCCCTTAATCAGTTTCACCCCAGAAGGAACGTGAATCGCTGCGAGTTGCAATGTAGATCCACACACTCTGGCGACCCTTTGCAGCCAAAGTACCGCAACGTTGCGTTGTTGTACCAACGGTGTTTTGTGTGGTAGCGGGGCTTGTGGTGGTAGATCTGACGGTTTTTGTGGCGGTGGCTATGGTAGTAGATATGGTAGTTGGGGTGGTGTGGTGTTTTGTAGTGAAATTGGTGGTTTGTTGGTGGTTGGGGTGGTGGTGGTGGTGAAGAGATGGAGAGTACGGAGTTCCTACTGGTTGTCGTGAGGTGGTGATGGTTCTGGAGACGATGGTTTAGCGGCATGGTGGTAGTTCTGGCGTGCTAGAGGTGACGGTGCTGCCGGAGGTCGCAAGTGTTAGTGATGGTTAAGCAGTGGTGGTGGTGAAGAGATGGAGATTACGGTGTTCCTAGTTGTCGTGAGGTGGTGATGGAGATTACGGTGTTCCTAGTTGTCACCAATTATTTGGTCGACTGTGACCATTAAATTGGTTGATTTGTGACCAATAAAAAATATGTGACCAATGAAAAATAATTTGTGACCATGAAATTATATGTGACCTAAAAAAGTATTAATTTGTGATCGATAATTTAATAATTTGTGATTGACTAATAAGTTGTGGCTAATAATATTTGTGATTTATGACCTCTGACCAATTAATTTTTTGATTTTGTCACCTATGAAAATTTTAATCGTGACCGTAAAATAATTTGTGACCTATATATTTTCTGATTTGTGATCGAAAAATAATCTGTGGCCAATTAATTTGATAAAATGTGAGCAATATAAATATGTACATGTGACCATGAATTGTATAATTATGATTTTAATATATTTATTTAATAAAATATAATTAATTAATTAATCAATACCTGATTTTTACAATTTTTAAACTTAAGGCCTGAAAATTGATTTGGTGATAGTTAAAACCTGATCCATGAATTCTTCCTCATTAATTAAGACATATTTCAAATTTAAGAAATAAAGTTTACTTTTTTCAAAAATCAGATATTAATTTAAATTTTTGTTATTAAATAATTAATTAAAAAATATTTTATTCATTAAATATGTTAGAGTCACAATATTATATAATTTTTGGTCATAGTTATACATTAATCACAATTACAGACGTCACAGTCACAACAACTAAATTTTATAGATCACAATTTATTTATCGATCACAAATTAAATAAATTAATTGGTCACATATTATTATTTTTTTTTATAAATTACAAATTTTATGAGTCAAATTATTTTTAGGTCATACATTATCAAATTATTAGTCACAACTTAACAAATTTTTAGGTATCTGTTTCATTAATCACATATTATTTATTGATTACACATTAATCAATTTATTGATCAAAGTCAACAAACACAATTTGTGACCACTACCACCTCAACACTGCCTCCGCAACACCACCGCCAACACCATTGCAACGACGATGATAGCCAACACCACCCCCAAATACTATCACGACGGCTGCCTGTATCAACCACCACCACCATCGCCTGTACCAACCAACACCATCTCCTCAAATATATTTTATCTTCCACCTCTACCACCACTTGCACCTATACCTCAATACACAACCACCGTCGCACCAATAAAAAATACCCAAACAAGCTATTGTCATTGTCGTCGACACATTCATGCCAGATTCACCACTATTACCACCTCCACCTCCGACGACAAAAAGACACCCACCACTAGATCCCATAAACCCTTTTCAGATCCACCACCGATCCAACAAAAAACCATCACCATCATCGATCTACTACCACTGCACCAATAAAACCATCGCCAAATCACGATGCAGCGCACAAACGCATCATCATCACCCTGCACTGCCACAATAGCGATTGTGAACCATCGACCACCACAAATTGCCAGAGAAATACTATAACCGAAGACCTGGTACATATCATCGAGAGGCGAGCCTCCAATTCAACTCCTCAGTGTAGCATGTACAGATCACACCAGCTTCTGCACCTCTGCGCGCAGAGGTTCTGATGCCACGCCACTGTGTTGCTTCGTGTTGTGCCATTTGGTGAGACACAACGCAAAAGTGGTGCGAGGGAGGAGAGCGTTGCGTACAAAGGCCGGTGAGCGCTCGTCGTCGGTGAGCGTTGTTAGAGAGATGAGAAAAGGAGATAGAGAGATGGTAGGCAAGAGCTGTTAGAGATAGAGAGAGAAGTAGACAGAGATAAAATTTAAGGAAATTTAGGGTTTTGAGGTGAGGAGTGTGATAGGGTGGATGGATGTAGGGTTGCTATATAAATTAATTTAATTATATGATATTATTATTTATATTGAATTATCATCTGATTTTTGTATAAACAAACTTCAAATCTGAATTTTGAAATGATAACTTAAAAAATCTTATTTTATGTAATTTTCACAATTTCATAAGATATTATGTAAGACCAATTTCAAATGTAAAAGAAAAAAAGGTTTATTATTTCAAAAATAAAATATTAATTAAATTTTATTTATTAAGTAATTAATTAAAAATATTTTATTAATTAAATATATTAATGTCACAATATTATATAATTTATGATCATAGTTATGTATTAATCACAACTGCAGGCGTCACAATACAAATCACAAATTTTATAGATCACAAATTTATAAAATTAATATGTCA